TAATACTGCTTTATACTGCTTTATATTGCATCAGAGAGATGTACATTTACCATTGTACATAAATGGCGAGGAGGTGGAGAGGGTTGGTAGTTTTAAATTTCTGGGCATTTATATCTCGGAGGACCTGTCATGGACTATGAATGCTAACATGCTTGTGAAGAAAGCACAGAAGAGGATGTACTCCTTGAGAATGCTCAGGAAGATAAATCTATCTCAGCATCTACTTCTGTCCTACTATCGCAGCACCATTGAGAGTATCCTGACATACAGCATTCTTGCATGGGATGGGAGCAGCTCTGCAGCAAACAAAAAAGCTCTACAGAAAAGCATTAAAACTGCCCAGAAGATCACCGGGCACCAGCTACCAGCCCTGAATGACATCTTTGCATCTCGCTGTTTGAGGAAGTTGCATAACATTCTCAGAGACTCTTCCCATCCTGCTTACAATCTTTTTAGACTGTTGCCTTCTGGCAGAAGATACAGAAGAATTAAAACTAGGACCACACATCTCCTGAATAGCTTTTATCCCAGAGCTATCATTGCACTCAACAATGAACTAAAGGGTCACCATCAGTGAGCTGTTGGACAGCACTACTTGGCTGTTGTGTGGATGCTTGGGGGTTTAGGGGCGGGGAATTTTTTGGGTGGATAGGGGTGTATTTGGGATTGTTATGTGTGTTGGGCCTGGTCTCTGGGGGTTATGTGAATTTCATTGTATGTGTATACTGTGTACATACATACATACATACAATGACAATAAAGTAAAGTAAAAGTAAAAAGTAAAAGTAAAAAGTAAAAGTAAAGCAAAAGTAAAGTAAAAGTAAAGCAAAAGTAAAGTAAAAGTAAAGCAAAAGTAAAGTAAAGTAAAAGTAAAAGTAAAGTAAAAGTAAAGCAAAAGTAAAAAATAAAAGTAAAGCAAAAGTAAAAAGTAAAGTGTAAAAGTAAAGCAAAAGTAAAGCAAAGGTAAAGCAAAAGTAAAGCAAAAATAAAGCAAAAGTAAAGCAATAGTAAAGCAAAAGTAAAGTAAAGTTTTGATCACCACGACACAAAAAAGTATGTTGCGACTCCACAACAGGGGTGTCAAACTCAAGGCCTGTGGCTGCATCCGGCCTGCAGGGTGCTTAGATCTGGCCTGTGGGGCCGCCCTGGAAACAGTGAAGGACCAGAGCACAATGCCAGCAAAAATGGAGCTCCCGAGGGCTGCACACAGATCTCTACCTTGTGTCCACAAGCGTAAAAATGCAAGTGTTTTCGCTGGCAGAGGGTTGCAGGAGGCTATCGCAGCTGAAAACGGAGCTCAGGAGCCTGTTCCTGCTGGCAGAGTACTCGGGCCGCCACAGGCGCCCCTGACATGAGTGACGTCGAGCTGGCCACGACCCCTGCTCCCCCTCTCAGCCCTCTGAGGTCAAACACAATCCTGATGTGGCTCTCAATAAAATCAAGTTTGACACCTCTCCTCTAGAAAGAGTTCAGAGAAGAGCAACGAAGGGGACTGGAGGCTAAAGCATATGATGAATGGCTAAGGGAACTAGGTACGTCTAGTTTAAACTGGAATGAAGGAGAAATTTCTCGAGAGTGAGAACAATTAACTAGGGTAATAATGGCTTTCCTCAGGAATTTGTGGATGCTCCATCAACTGGAGGTTTTTAAGATGAGAATGGTCAATCAATTGTCCAGGCGAGCAAAAGGTCTCATTCTTATGAGCAGGGTTGGACTAGAAGACCTCCAGGGTCCTTTCCCACCCTGTTGGTTCTATCCTAAAGGTGCTTTTTCAAGGGACTTTCTGTTTTTTGTGTTTGAAGACGTTTCGCTTCTCATCCAAGAACCTTCTTCAGAGAAAAACCAGAAAGTCCAGTTGCCTCTTGAAAAAGCACCTTTGGGACAACCATGACCTGGAGGGCTGAGCATCTTTATAGGCATCTGTTTGTTCTACATTATTCCATGCTTGAAAAAAGTATGAATTCAAAAATGAGCAGCCAAACCATCTGCTAGTTTTACAACCAGCTGGCACGCAACTTCACATGATGTCAAGTGTGGCACTTCCATAACTCTCTTCTTAAGCGAAAGCTATGAAGATCTTACCGGATTTTACTCTCGGATGCAAAGTCTGGCTTTTCTCATTCATTTATTGAGTTTATGGAGGCCCTCATGTGAACATCTGGTGGTGTTGCAGATCCAGGAGCTGCCTTTTGGCCCTGGGACTTTGACCAGTCAAACTCAGGTCATGCTAGTACTCAGGTGACGTGGTTCAGCATACTGGGTGACCCTGGCCGCTTGTGTTGATGGTTAAACAAACATGGTTTGGTGGCGTGTACTAACCCCATCGTTAACTCACCACTCCAAGTGTGAAGTAGTTGAAGAAAAAATCGTTGCACTTCGAAGGGACTTGTTTGTGAGGTGAAGGTGAATGGATTTTCATCTGTTTGCAAAAAAAAATAAGAAACAGCTTCATTTTTCAAGCTTAATAGTGGCTGGCACTTATTGGGAAAAGGGAGCCTTAAGCTTTGAATAGATTAAATGACATTTACCCCCATAATTTTAACCTCGAACTGTCTACCGTGGAGCTCACCCCATTCCTAAGAGGTCCATAAAGGGGGCGTGCATAAGCGCACCAGCATGCCTTCCGTCCCTGTCCTACTGTCCCATTATTTGTCCCCATTTCCTGTGTTCATGTTTATACTCATATGTTTATATGTTATATTCACACTTGTTTTCTCATACATGCTTGACAAACAAAATAAAATAAATAAATCAAAGAATTCCTCAGCCAGCCATGTTAACAACTTAACAGCAGTGGCAAAAGGGGGACAAAACTCCCTTGTTCTCATAAAATGGGGCCAAACTCACTTAACAACTTGCCTTGCTTAGCAACAGAAATATTGTGGTCAATTTTGATTGTTAAGTCACAAGACTCCCTCCCTGTATTGAGTGGGAAACAACTATCCATAGGCCGCTTTCTGCACACAATAAAAAACCCTGCCACACTCAATAAATTAAAATGACATGAAAAATATTTCACTGAAAGATACAGGCAGGGAAAATTCATGAAGACTAAACAGAACACAGGTAGTCGTCAACTTAACGACAGTTCATTTAGTGACCATTTGAAGTTACAACAGCACTGAAGAATCGTGACTGCTTTTCACACTTCACATGGTCACATGATCAAAATCCAGGCACTTGGCATCTGACTCACATTTATGACGGCTGTTGCCCGCCTCTGCTTCGCTTGCTTGCTATCGGCTGCCACAGAAATGAGTTTGGGCTCAATTGGGGTCATAAGGTGAGGACTACCTATGATTTATCTAACACCCAGTAAGAAAGAGCAGAGTGAAGGTCTTGGGAGGCTGCTTATAGAAATGATCTGCAAGGATTTTGCCTCACCTTATCTTCTGATTTGTAGAAAACCTTGTGAGGGGACCCCAAAGTGCTCAGAACATCTTGGCACGAATCACCGAAATACACACAACGCTCAGATACCCGTATTTTGGCATCGGCTAACACACCGGGACCGCAACCTACAAGGGAGAAAAAAAAGAGATAGGAAGATAGGAGCACTACAGAATAACTGATCACAAGAAGTGTTAATACCACTTTATAATGCCTTGTAAGGCCACACTTGGAATACTGCATTCAGTTTTGATGTAGAAAAGATGTGGAGACTCTAGAAAGAGTGCAGAGAAGCGCAACAAAGAGGATTAGGGGACTGGAGGCTAAAACATATGAAGAACAGTTGCAGGAACTGGGTATGTCTAGTTTAATGAAAAAAAGGACTAGGGGAGACATGATAGCAGTGATCCAATATCTCAGGGGTTGCCACAAAGAAGAGGGAGTCAAACTATTCTCCAAAGCATCTGAGGGTAGGGCAAAAAGCAATGGGTGGAAACCAATTAAGGACAGAAGCAACTTAGAACTAAGGCAAAATTTCCTGACAGTTAGAACAATTAATCAGTGGGACACCTTGCCTCCAGAAGTTGTGAATGTTCCAACACTGGAAGATTTTAAGAAGAGATTGGATAACTATTTATCTGAAGTGACGTAGGGTTTCCTGCCTAAGCAGGAGGTTGGACTAGAAGACCTCCAAGGTCCCTTCCAACTCTGTTATTCTATTCTATTCTATTCTAT